TTCGGATCATGTACGAGCCAAAGAGAGCTGGATTTTGAACTCGTTCTATCTTTACAATTTGGTTGCCGGAACAGGTTTGCTGGAATCGGTCCTGAACACTCTTGTACTGCTGTGAGTCTTTCTCAGGATCCAGCTCAACAAGGTGTACAGTCATTTCTACGCCCTGGGAGTCTTTTGGTTGTGGAATCCAGTAAGCAGGAAGCAGGACCCCTTGTGGAAGGAAAATGATTATGGTAAGTGTTAGTGTAATTCAAATAGTACCGGTAGAGTTTAATCCAAATTCGGGGGCTCCAAAATGTGTTTCTCTTCTCTGTAAGGATTTGACTTCTTATGGCGTTCTCAATTTAAGCGGAAAATTACTTGAACAATCACTAAATTTAGTTTACATGTTATTAGACACAGCTGCAAAGTGAATTACAAACGCATATGATGCTGTTTATAAAACAACCTTTTTCTGTTCAGGTCTGAATTCAAACTGAAAAGAAAGTCTACCAGTGATATATTCATGCCACCATTCGTGTCCCTTTTTGTTAATCTTCATCATTAATGTGATAGCAGATGACAACTTTCTCCCTGCAATGCAAATACAAACCAAAAGAACCAAAGTTTATTGTCCTACCTTTTCGCAGATCAATTCTCTGGACTGAAGTGGCAACGCCACGCGGATCGGTCATTGTCATTGAGCTGAAATCAATTTGGAAATCTTCTTCCTCTTCAGAAGTTATGGTCACTCCAGGTTTCTTCTGACAATAGGCAGCTTCGATCTTTGCATTTATGAGGCTTCCGTATTCCACAAATTTATCGCCATCATGGTTCATCCATCTAATATCCTTTGACAACGCCTCAGCTCGCCTGCGTTCGTGTTCTTCTTCTTTCAAGTTATGCAAAATCGTATGGATCTCGCTTGAAACGTTAAGAATGTCTGAAGGCTGTCCACGAATTACAATGCGCCCTACATAGTTCTCGACAGAAACTGAAACATCGTGTATTTGCTCAAGGGTGTGAATCTTGCGGAAATTATCTCCAGAGAATGTAGTGACAGCTTCATGCTCAATAATCTGCGTCGTTGAGTTCTCTTTCATAATTTCGTTTATGCGGTGAGTTGCTCCTTGAATGTCCTCCTTACAACCAGCAAAAATTGCAAGGTGGAGAGTGTTGTTGGCATCTTTTTGAAAGCTCTTTGAAAGCTCAGTGTCCTTCTCCCCGAAGCCAAAGAGACCACTAACTGTGGAGAAAACTCGTCGAAAAACTCCAGGTTTGTCGTCTGGTGCTTGTCCGGATGCTTCTTCAATTGCCTGACGGACGTCTTTAATCATTTCTTTTTGGAAAATGATCAGCTTAAGGAGCTTCAAAGAAGCAGGCTGGTGATTGTTAAAGTCGTAAACTGCGGATAACATTGTCTCCGCGCAGGACTTTGCTGTAACACCAAGATTACCTGTTCCAATTACAGGGAACGAGATCGATGAAAGACCCCTTTTCTCAGCCTCTCGAAGACACTTCATTACTGATAATTTGATGCTTTTGTTGTTTAGAGGTTGAGGAAGGACTATGTGGAAGACAAACCTTGCATTTAAGTTACCTGCTTTTGTAACTACAACTGATCCCGGTAATTGTGGACCATACGACTGACACTCTCTTTGAATGGAGTCACCTCCTTTCCTGAGAATTGCTGCACCTGCACCACCTCCCCTCTTCACATCTAGATCAGGGTTAGTTATGATGGCGATGGCATCCGTTCTCTCGTCAGTAATGTCGCCTGGTTGGGCTTGGAAGCACAGTGTTCCAACATTAGTTTCCAAGTGATCTGGCCGTCGTTCTCGTAGTGGCGAAAATGTCATGTTAGGAGAAGAAGATGCATAGACAGCCGAAGAGAGGTTATTCGCGGATTGAATTTCAATTGGGTGCGCGGCTTTCTTGACCGGAATAGGCGCGTTTTCCATATTTCTTCTTTTTAACTCCTCTTCGAAGGCTTGGATAGTTGAATAGTCTTTGTCATAGAGAAGAAACCTGACTTGTTTAAGAGTAGTTGACGGGTTTTTTTTATTGTGAGATGTTACCTCATCAAAATAGATTTCTGCAACCTCATCACGGGGAAATGCAAGTATTCCTGTTCCAATGGCAGGAAATGCAATAGATTCCACTCCAGCTCTTGTCGCCTCTTCAAGGCATTTTCTGATTAGCCTCTTTAGAACCTGAAAATGCAGAGGTTGCCAGGTATCAGTTACCTATACATCAATGAACACGATGACTTCATTTTCTGACTGATAGCCGTGAGCGCAATAATACCGAGTTAATTCTCGGAAATCTCGCGTGACATTTTAATACTTGAAAGAATAACTTCCATTTTATGTTCAAACAGACGAATGCCATTTATGTAACTCGCGAGAAATTTTACTTTACTTCCCTTTTATATTCAAACAGACGAATGCTAGTTATGCAGCTAATAATTAATAATTTATTACTTGTATAGCGCAAAATACATGTGGATATGATCTAATGCGCTATACAATAAGACTAAGCAAAATAAAATATGAAAACGAACTATAAAAGGCTAAGAATATGCAATTTGACTGACTAAAAAAAGTATGAAAATGAACTATAAAAGTAAACATGAAATTGCCTGTCTAAAGAGATGTGTTTTAAGAAGTGTTTTAAAACAATTAAGATCATTTACTGCTCTTATTTTTGATGGTAATCTGTTCCAAAGTTTAGGAGCAGCTCGCGAGGACTTGTATTTTACTTAAAGAGATTTCTCATGACGAAATACCTCAGAAATAAACCAAACGCACTTAATGCAGAGGGCCATTATTTTAATTTCTCGTGGAAGTACTTTGTCAGTCATGACCACAAGCTCGCTTACGCATGGATCATATAGTCCATCGGCTAATCTTTCGATCAGCTATCAGTCAATACTTAGCCACCCCGATGCTAATAAAGTTTTTCTAATTGATTAACAGAAACAGAAATAAAATTTGAATACCTTTTTTCCTTTTCCACCTTGCCACTCAGAGCATACGGCAAAGAAAACTGCTTTGCATTTGAGGTTTCCTGGTTGATCGACAACAGCAATATCACCAACAGCGACCTGCCCTATTTTGTCGCATTCTTTTTGCAATGCTGGTCCTGCTCTTTGACTGAGTGCCTTGGCGCAAGGATTCTGAGACAAGTTTAGATTTGATGCCGCTGTTCCAACTAAAATATCGGCCTAAACAATCAAAAGAAAAGTACCTTAGCCATCAATTTTTACAATCGTCACTAGTAGACGTGTGCCTTTGTCGAAGAAGCATAGCCAGAGATAAAATACTTCCTTTAATGTAATGCTGGTTTATCCTCTTTTTAGACAAACGAGGCGAGGTTGTTGTAATTTGTTAGCACACCGTTGTTTTATGATATTAGAAAGGCCTTTATAGATTTAAATGATTCATTATTCTGCAACTGCTCACCTGTTCGTCCGCAAGATCTCCGCTCTTTACTGTTACGCGAATTCCTTGGGTCACAAATGATCGTGAAGTGCGCACCGTCTTCACTTGAGCAGCACGGCCATAACCAGAGTTGCTAGGTGCGGAGCCAGAGAAAGATTTTCCAACTTTACGGGCGCGAAACGTCTGTTCGTCAGCAAATCTTTCCTTAAATTCTCCCTCGAAAGCCTGAACAGTCTGGTCATCTTTGTCGATGAGATGAATTTCTGACAGACGGCAGTTTGAATTTTTTTCGCAGAACTCGAGTACAGTGTCTAATATAATCTTAGCACAGAGATCACGAGGGAAGCCGTAAATAC